TTCTAACCTTAATGATTCTATGATTCTGTTATAGTGAGAATTATGAGCTTCTGGGTTGTTTCATCTAGGAATAAAGTGAATACTGTATCACCAGAACATTGGACATTTTGGTAGAATTATGCTGTAGCTTGGCTGACCTCAAAAGCTTGTTGGTTCATGTGAAGAAACTGTTGTGAACTCAAGTCAGAGAGCAGTATAGAAAGAATGATGTTCTGACTCAGGTTGAAGTTATGGATTTGTTGGATGAAGTTTGATGTGTTAACTGCAATACAGTGATAATTTATTGTTATTGGGTTTTGGCCTGTATATTTATTGACCTTGAGTACTTCCACAGAAGAATCTACATATCAAGAGAAACATTAATCTGCAATCCACTATTTCAGTTTTGAAAGTAAATGGCTCATTGAGACCATAGTCTTTGTTTTCAACACTGCTCCAACACGTGTCCACTTCTTTTTATTGGAAAAGTGTTCTGAATGTTAGTAGATTAGACTTTTTTAATAATTTCCTATATTTTGGCTAGTTAGAGCTCAAGTGGATTGATACAGTTAATATAGAAACTTCATTTTAACTCTTTGTATTTTTCGTGGATGGTATAAAATTAGCTGCAATTGGGGGTAAGCTTTTGCTGTCAGATGCACTTTGTGTGCATGTATCAAGATTTATATAACTCAATGTTCTCTATTTGTTCCAAAAGTTATGCCTAGTAGACCAATGCAGTTACATGTACTGCAGTATAAAACCTAAGCCAAAGCGTGTATCACATTACTTTAAGGAAGTCCTTTGTGGTTTTTTTTTCCCTCCTATCTTGGTATGAGACAAATGTCACGACCATGCTTATTGCAGCAAGTTGCAATTGAAAATAAGTTTATGTTCTGATTTTGTTCTTATTGTTGTTGTTTTTAATCATCTAGAGTTGCAAGTGCAAAACTTAACAATTTTTCTCGCCTGGAGCCCACGCTTCACCTTCTTGGTGTACAGTTTAATGAGAATGTAGCCCAAGACATCATGACAGGACAGCATGGGGCTACAACAAAGCTTTTATATGAATTGTATATTGCTTTAGAGAAAAAAAGGAAGGCAAAGCTCACTGAAGTAGCCATGGAAGCAATGAGACCTGCAGCAACTGCAAAGCTTAAGTCTATTGGAAGTGTTTTGTATCGAGAGGTAACTAACTATGCCTATTTTCTATGAATATGTAGGAAAAAAGGTAGCATATTTACATGTACCTCTAAAGCACATTGCATGCTTCCCCTCCCCACTTTTTAAATCCCCTATTCAAACCGCAATACTTATACGGAAAAAGAAGCAGTCCTTTGCTATGTCTTATACATAGACAGTTGGATTACACGGTTTACCTGTATTCCTTTGTTCTGGCTCATTCTGTATTACCTGCTCTGTTTTTAAGCTTTCTCCAGACTTAAAATACATGTAGCAGCAAAGGCTAATAGTTGTTCAGCAGCTGCCATTTTACTCATTTGATCAGTGCAGACTGCAGTCTGCACTGCAGTCTAGGTATCAACTTCGACTAATTTCCCCTCCAGGAAACCTATTTATAACTGTGTTGAGCTATGTGCCACGGTGGTTTGGTTCCTTCTGTTGCACGTCACTCCATATATTTATACTACACTCCAGCCTGCAGTAACCGTATGCTGAGTAATACGAAGAGGAAGAAACGAAGAGGAAAGAGAGTATCTAAGAGGAAGTCAGTATCAATGTAGTAGATTCTGTTAAGGACGTTCTTCTTGTCTTCAACAGTAATGTTCAGCATGTGCAGACCATAATTTGTTATCAGGATGAGCAATCTTTAAGAAGCTATATATTATGAATCAAATTCAGCTGGGTGAAATTTCACATTTTTTTCTGGCACACTTGCTGAAAAATAGTCTATAAGCAGAAAGTTTACCAACAAGTGCAAGGATAGTACCAAACAGTCAAAACATCCCTTCACCTATAGAGGGATAGCTTAAAGAACATAAAGCAATTGAGAGTAGCTCCTGTCAATAGATAGGTTCAGAATGGCATCTGAATCGTAGAATAGTTAATTTTGGAAGGGGCCTCTGCAGGTCATTTAATCCACACACCCCCTGCTCTAAGCAAAGTCAACTAGACCAGGTTGCTCAGGACCTTGTTCAGTTGGGTCTTGAATATCTCCAAAAATGGAGAATTCACAGCCTGTCTGGGCAAATTGTTTATCACCCTTTCAGTAATTTTTTTTTTCTTATGTCTAAGTTGAATTTTATGTATTTCAGTTTGAACAGAATAGAATAGTTCCAGTTGGAAGGGACCTACAATGATCATCTAGTCCAACTGTCTGACCACTTCAGGGCTGACAACAAGTTAAAGCATGTTATTAAGGACATTGTCCAGATGCCTCTTAAACACTGACAGGCACAGGGCATTGACCACCTCTCTAGGAAGCCTGTTCCAGTGTTCCAGACCACCCTCTCAGTAAAGAAATGCTTCTTAATGTCCAGCCTAAACCTCCTGTGGCGTAGCTCTGAACCGTTCCCACAGTTCCTGTCACTGGATACCAGGGAGAAGAGCTCAGCACCTCCCTCTCCCCATCCCCTCCTCAGGAAGCTGTAGGGAGCAATAAGGTCACCCCTCAGCCTCCTTTTCGCCAAACTTAACAAAGTTTGGCATTGTTCAAGTTCAAATCTGCATGTTCTTTTCAATGGAGCTAGTCCTGTTATTCTGTGTATGTTAACACAGGAAAATACAGTTTCAAATGACTATTGCAAAATTAGCATATTTAAATATGTTTCTTCTGTTTCTGACTCTTCATTGCTTGATGTTTAATTTTAGCGTTTGAAAACTTTAACACCACGTCAGGCTGACTTGCAACTACAGCAGATTTCGGAGCATTTTGAAATGAAATCTAAGGCAATAGAAAATAAAACAGCTCGTATATATATTGCAGAACAACAGAAAGTTCAGAAGCTCCAAGAGGAACAAAGAGCCCAAGACATTGAAAAGGTGACTACTTACTTTTTATAGACTTGTGAAGAAGTATTTTCTTAAGCTCATGTACATAATGAGTTAGTTAAAGCCAGTGAGAATGCTTGTTAATTCTGTGCTACACAGTCATGTTTATACAAAAACAAAGAAAAGGAGTACGTATGGCAATCATTAATATGTAGATATAAAGCCAATATACTGTTATAAGACTCTTAAAAACATTAATATTTAGAAATCACTTAATGTTAAAGGAGAGTATTTGCATATTGTCATGGATGGAAAATATTTATAGATTTGAAGACAAAGTGTAAATTTCACAACTGTATGTGTTTAAGGTGTCCTTGTAAAAGAGGTTTGTGACATTCTTCATTTGTGAAGAAAAGATGAAGCGTTGTCCAAAAGCAGGAAAAAGACACAGGGAAGGGGACCTATAGTGGGTATGGCCTCAGAACATCTTGTAGCTCTGTGTAGCTGTTCTGATAAAGTAAAAAAGAGGAATTAATTTGTTAAGAAACGGGAACACTCATCCAAAGTACAGCCTGTAGTTTATATAAAGGAACTAGCCAGCTATACAAGGGGTGTTGAACCACAATGAAAATGAAGGTGACTAATTTGAGATGCATTTTATATGGCTAATTAAAGGGAGACAGTCTTGCTGTGGTTATTTAGCTGTTCTATTGCCACTGCATGGACAAGAATGAAAAAATGTCCCTTCGTATATCTAGAAAAGAAAATACAAGCAATATCCAAAATATTCCAAATAAAATTTTAAAATAAAATTTATTAATATCTTATTTGATAATCACATACTTATTTTTAACTATCTTCGCCTCTTTGTAAAAAAACGTTTTTCCACTCAATTCCACCTTTAACTGCATGTATCTGTAGTGCACTTTTAACTAGTGTAATTTAAATGTTTGTTACTTCTTGATCATCTGATCTATGGTAATATTACCTAATGGTATTCAGTGGTAATATTACCTAATGGTATTCTCAGTTTCTGTACCAGGAAACTGGTATTCTCAGTTTCTGTGCTGAATTCTGACCTGAAACAGGTACCATACCACAGCCAGAATTTAATACAAGCCCTTCAATGTCTATTAGGCCCCGAGCATAAACTGTTTTTCTTTACAGCTGTGCTTCTATTGCACCACACTATTTGTTAATGCAGATGTAGCATATATAGATGTAGCATTTTCTGATAATTGTACTTAAAAAAATATATCTTAATCAAATATTGAGAACATGGAATAGCATATTGCTAAGCTATCAAATTATTGAGAATGTAGAATGATACTTTAGTTTAAAATGCATTTTACAACATCTACTCCTTGATGTAAAAATGGTGATTTATGAGTACAGTGGCTGAGAATATTCTTAAGACAAGGTTTAACAGTGGAAAAAAGATAAATAATTTTTTGCTTTCATGGCATTTTAGTGATCCACTTAAAAAAAAAAAGAGAAAGAAAGAAAGAAAGAAGAGTCATTTGCTCAAGCCCAGGGCATGATAGGCTCTTCTGTTTTCTTCCTGGAAGATTTTTGTAGTTATGGCTTAATTACATTTACTTCATAGACATGTAGGTAGTGTATTAGGGCCATGTGGTGTACTTTGTTTCAACTCAAGTATCTGAACACAAGATATTGAATATTCAGCATCGCATAGGAAGAAGGAGACAAAATGAAATAATGGCCAGGATTCAAGCAGCCATTATACAGATTCCAAAGCCACCACCAAGCCACACCATAAAAGCTATTGAAGCCAAAAAATTCTTAAAGAAGAAAAGAGAAGCAGAGGTAACTATCATCTGTATTCTTTTAATATTAATTATATAAACTTGCAAAACATATGATTTCTGGGAGCATTTACATTTACAAATACTGTACTTGCACCATCCAAAAGCTGCTGATACAACTGTTAAAATGATATAGTACACTCAGCCAGTGAAAATTGGGCTAAATATTAATATGATTATGATTCTGCGTTTGTTACTTAGTAAAAATTCGTTTTGATGTAAGAGGAAGTTCTTATTGAATAAATATCATAGATATTGCTGACAGTATTTTAACTTCTAGTCTTCTGAGTAGAATATGTGAAATAGAGTCATAGAATCATAGAATCATTAAGGTTGGAAAAGACATCTAAAATCATCGAGTCAACCATCAACCCAACACCACCATGCCCACTAAACCATGTCCCTAAGCGCGTCATCTACACGTCTTTTAAATACTTCCAGGGATGGTGACTCTACCACTTCCCTGGGCAGCCTGTTCCAATGTTTAACCACTCTTTCAGTAAAGAAATTTTTCCTAATGTCCAATCTAAACCTCCCCTGGTGCAACTTGAGGCCATTTCCTCTCGTCCTATCGCTAATTACTTGGGAGAAGAGTCCAACCCCCACCTCGCTACAACCTCCTTTCAGGTAGTTGTAGAACGCGATGAGGTCTCCCCTCAGCCTCCTCTTCTCCAGGCTAAACAGCCCCAGTTCCCTCAGCCGCTCCTCATAAGACTTGTTCTCCAGACCCTTCACCAGCTTTGTTGCCCTTCTTTGGACACACTCCAGCACCTCAATGTCCTTCTTGTAGTGAGCGGCCCAAAACTGAACACAGTATTCAAAGTATGAATAAAAGCATTAATGTTTCCTTCTCATTTGTGCATGATGAAGTTTTGCACCAGAATGTAGGAACTCTTCTGTAACACACTATAAAACTGTCCGCTCTCTCAAAAATATTAGTAACAGCTAATTAACAATAGTCTTAGATCAAACCAAAAGATGATGGCAATGCAGCAATAAAAAAAAATTCTGTATTATCTAGTGCTGAAGAGTACTTGGATTGTAATCTTACAGTTCATGGATTGTATTGTCATCAGGAGTGCAATTATTATCAGTTTTTACAACTGCGCAACCACAATATGCATTTGCATATAAAGTGTAGGAACATAGTTGATTGAGTAACTATCGGGGATAAATTCAAGCTACTAAATCTAAAGCAGATCATAGGCCAGAATATCTTGTTTCAAATCCCTGAATGGTGGGAATTATATAAACTGCTAGAGTCTACTTAAAATCAGAATTATCCTGCAGAATGAACAGCTACAAAATCTTAGGATTTTCTGGCTATGGTGGACGTAGGTGTAGCTAGGAAAAGGGGAGGGCAAAAGGAAAGGAAAAGTAGAAGAAGGAAATAGTCTTGCCTTTTTTCTTTATCTAGCTGATGTGTAAAATATTTTCACTGTAAACATTTCTGTTATACTAGCATGACGTAAAAATAATTCCCTAATAAGACTATTGAACCTTCCCTATGATGCTTTGTGAAGAGAAAAGAAACATTAAATTTTGTGTTATTTCTTCAGGACACATACAAGGAGATTAAAAAGTTTGAGAAGTCTATGGCAGGAAATGCCTCTGCAGCACACAGCCAAGTCACTGACAGGTAATATTTGGTTATTAGATTGTTAAGATTAGACAGGACCCTACCTCAGATGCCTACTATCTATGTAGACAGCTACTTGAGGAAAATGTAATGGCTTGTTTAGTTTAAACTGTGATTGTCCTTTGAGTGATTGTCCCACTAGCATGGCAAATATTCCAGCTTCAGCACTGTTACAGTGTTTTTACCTTACCTGTAATTGTAGTAGGGATGGCTCAAGCTTGCTTCTCTCCTTTTTGCCATATATGCAGCAACAAAGGACACAAAGTGCATCTCTTCTTCTCTGTTCATTTCAGTCATTGAGTCTGTAAGGTCAGTTAGACTTGCAGAGAGTTGAGAATGGTTGTGGATGTACGTACACGATAACCCACTTCAAAGAAAATAGAGAGAAGTAACCTTTCTCTTTATACTTATCTGTATGTTGATTTATTTGTGAATAATTTTAAGTAATAGTCATGCTGTCACTTTTAGTGATATATATACCATACTCAGAAGAGGTGGCACTCATGCATACTGCTGTGGATAATTCTGTATGTAAACAACCTGTGATTAATAACTCTGCAAAACTGCACTCAGAATGTATGGATATATTGAAGAGTAACCCATCTTTATTTGATATTCTGTGAGCCATCCTTTTTTCCTCTTTCTGCAGAATTTGGCTTCATATTAGCAAATGAACTAATTGACAGTTGGCTCAAGTCAGTGCTGGACCCCTCTGGACTTAGTGGTCGTTGTGGGGCACAAAAGCATCAAGAAGTAGCCACAGTGCCCACAAAGAGTGCTGTTGTGTGTTTGTCAGACTTGCACATGACTATACAGGGATCTGTATGAAAACACCTCTAAGAACTATAATTCCTATAAAGTCAGCGATCTTTTTCTTTTTAATCTTTTCAATCAGCAATATACAAGAATCATTGCAAACACAGAAGCTGCAAGAAACAACTCTAGAAACTACAGCACAGAAGGCAACTGAGCTGTTAAATATTTATTCAGATGATGAATATATAAGGAAAATTCAAAAACGTTTAGAGGAAGATAAGTTTGCTAGAGAACAACGAGAAAAGAGACGACGAAAAATGCTAATGGAACAGTTAATAGCACATGAAGCTGAAGAGGTGAGAAAATATATGCTGAAGTATATAACCCATGCACAATTAGTAATCTAAAAATTTGTTTACAAATATAAAACCAGAATTTTTGGAGGATTGAATAAAATTCGGAGGGGATAAAGGGAGGTATATACACTTATCTGAAAATAACTTTTTATGCCAACCATTGTCTTCCCTTGAAAAATACGGAAGGTTGTCCATTCTTTCTCACCACCTTTATGTCATACTTCATCCTTATCGATCATAAAGGATCAAATGAAGGCAGCAGAGCTAAGATTGCTAAAAATCAGTTGAAGACCTGCCTTCTATTTCCCCCACACTCCAAGGTTGAACTTTAAATTATCAAAATGTATACTGGTTCTGAAGAAGATACTTATTAAAAAACAACAAACATGGCATTCCTTGGTTGAAAACCTGTATTTACAAATATGTCATGTAAAGTTTTTGATCTGGACTGGGTGAATTCTGAAATGCTTGTGGTGGGTAGTATGAAGAAGGAAAACACTTATTTTGCGGATCAGAGCTTTGATTTTTGATGTCTTATGGAATAAAAGATGTGTCTCTGGAGGATGTCTGTGTTGTGTCTGAAAATGGATGTTGCAGGTTATTCTGTTTGAATCCTGTCCCATAAAGCACAAGGCTTTTCAGATTCCTCCTCAGACACTCCTCATTTGAAAAGCAGCTCTTAGATTACTGACTTCACAGACCTTCTCTTTCATAATGATTGTATCAAAACAGAACCTTGTAGGTTACTGGGTTTCTCTGATTTCTAGTTATCTTTTATCTTAGTATTGCACTGTGAGTCCTTAGCTTAGCTCATATGTGTTGAACCCAGTATAGCCGAGCCTGTCTCCACTGCTGTTGTATAATAACAGCACTTCAGATGTGTGGAATCTCTGAAAAGGAAAGGTGTATATGTATGTATACACATATATATATGTATTTAAGCATTGGCATCTAATGTTTGGAGATGGTTTTGAAGTTGTTAAGAAAAAATTAAATTTGTTGGGGTAGGCATCTAGAAATTAGATAACTTCTCGATGTCTATACCAGACCTCTATTCTATGAAAAACACCTGTATTGGCTTAGACCAAGAGTCCGTCTATCTATGTATCCTGTCTCTGAGCTCTCATTCAAGGAGATTTTATATCATGTTCTCATTGATATGGATAGGCCATGAAGAAGCTTTGCAGCCCAGTTGTCTGAAATCACTGTAGTCCCAAAACTTGCTCTTTACCTGCTACCAGCTGTTGCAGCCCCAGCACAACCCCAGCAGCCTGTATTAGTGGTTCTGATGGCCATCATCTGATAATCATGGCTATGTGGCCAGCGGCAATCACTGGGGCATTTGGTGGATACAACAGCTGTAAGCCAGCAAAGCCAGCCAGTGCTGTCGAGGAGGTCAGACAGCTGGTCCACCTGTGGTTGTAGTACAAGCCTTGTCAGTTTGACATGGAGGAATTGTTGCAATGTGCTGCCAATCAAACTGGCTCCAGTGAGGCTCCAAAGCAAGGCAAAAGTAACAACAGTGCTCCTAACTTCCCAGGAAGAAAAATCAGCCTTGGTATAGGAACAATAGAAGTCACAGGCTGCAGGAGTGAGAAGGAAAGACAAGTGAGCAGCTGACTGGAACACTAGTCTGACCAGATCAGAGAATCTGTTTAGTGGTAATTTGGTTCTAAATTAGCAGAGGAAGAGGTGTCTGATAGGAACTCTGTCAGATTTTGGAATTAGAATTTGCTCGACTTAAGAGAAGTGCGAAAGAAACTGAGATATTTTCTTTAAAAAATAAAAAAATATACGAAGTATATTTTACATTCTTCATCCATTAGACATCCAACCAGAAAGGATTTGCAGACTGAAATTGTAGCTTTCTTGTAGACCTTAGGGTCAGATTTTTACCTATACTGCATAAAACTTGAACACAGGGCACGGGATCGTTTAGAGTCAAATGAATTTCATCCCTTCAGAGTGCTTTAGTGTGTTTCATGTCCATATGTATAAACCTCTACTAAAAGAATCTTGTTCAAATTTTTGAATTTCGGCACACTACAAGTTAGAGCCTGGGAGAAAAAATTCTGTACAATTACATGACACTCCTCTATGTGGAGCACAGAGTGATGCTAGTCAGATTTTCATAGGCAGGAGTTGAAAGTGTTTAACAGTAACATGGCTTCATCCCAATTGAATCTTTGATCTCCACCATTTCAACAAAGTATTTGTTCTAAGTACTTGCTATTTTTAAATGTGCTGTTCAGATTTTATCTCTCTGAATTTAAAAAGTTATCAGGAAGAAGTTACTGTTAGCAATAAATTGACAAGATGAAAATGGGAGGGGGAAAGAATTGTTACTAGATTATTGCTTGTCAACCAAATAGATTTATGTACACTAAGCTATAAGTTTTGGTCATAAATTTTATGGCTACACAACAGGACAGAATTGTTTCATTTGTAAGTAAATTAAATAAAAAAATAGAAAAATTGAAAAATGTGATATAATAATTGTGTATGAACAACATGAAACATAAACACATTAATATTTGGCCACTGGATGCCACTGTTGTCTCAAGTAGGTAAGCTGAAAAAAAGTGTGTATTATGCTTTCTCAGTAGCAATTTTTCAAATGATTACTAAGATGTCCCATTTGTGGTATTTATGATTTCTTCAGACACTTCACAGTCCTCTGTGGAGAAGTTGATGTAAAATGTTAGGTCAGAAAATTGTACTACCATTTTTATTTTGTCTCCTAGTATGCCCAGAAGTTTCAAAACTTTTCAGCCTTAGGTTTTAGTACTTTGTCCACTCCTGTTTGTATGAAAGATAATTACCAAGGCTTCACTCCCTTATCCAATGACCACCCTTTTTGAAATTGAGTTTGGTGTTCTGAATCCTAATTTGTCCATTGTGTAGCTCTGAGTTAATTGCCTTTTCATATATTCTTTTTCCTCAAAAATTTCCTGCTGGCTCTTTCTAGGCCTACTCAGCATGTCAAAATATTTGATCACTTAGAATATCGAAGTTCTCTACCCTTCAGTCAACAAAGAAAAGGTCTCTTTTGGCTGCTCTGAAGTGTTCTAAAGAATCACCTTTCCATTTCCTTTATAAAAAGCGCATTCACCTAGATGAGGTGCTTTAATTTCTCACTGGCCCAACTATTTGCACCATACAGTTGATGGTTTGAATATGATGACTGTTAGGTGGCTCCTTCAATCCCCCGTGAATTAGGATTTAAAGATCCATTTTCCTCTGGTGGAGTACTTACTGCTATACTAATGCATGGTTGAGGATAAGCAGTTGTAACTGAAGAAAACAATGAAGGATTTTGCAGCCTTTCAGTACTTAAAGGGGGCTTATAAGAAAGATGGGGACAAACTTTTTAGCAGGGCCTGTTGCAACAGGACAAGGGGGAATGGTTTTAAACTAGAAGAGGGTAGATTTAGACTAGATATAAGGAAGAAATTTTTTACGAGGGTGATGAAACACTGGCACAGGTTGCCCAGAGAGGTGGCAGATGCCCCATCCCTGGAAGCATTGAAGGTCAGGTTGGATGGGGCTCTGAGCAACCTGATCTATTTGAAGATGTCCCTGCCTATGGCAGGGTGGTTGGACTAGATGACCTTTAAAGGTCCCTTGCAAGCCAAACCATTCTATGATTCTATGATATTTACTTGTAATAGGAAGAAAAGTCTGTGCAACCTCTACCCTTCTTTGAAATCTTAATGAAATAGAGAGTCCAAAGAAGCAGTGGATAAAACTGAGGCAGCAAAGTCTCCTTTTATTGCCTTGGCTTTATGAATGTAAGAGGCAAATGGACAGATTAACTCTTCATTAGCAGTGCTATTGAAAAATTTTATCACCTGAACTATATCAAATGACACATAGCATGAATATGAAAATATAAAGTGCATCTAAAGTTGTTACTATTGCATTGTTTTCCATTTCAGTTGCATGCATGATGATAATTCTGTGCACAGAAAAATAGTGTACAAACAGTACAAATAGTGTACAAATAGAGTACAAAACAAAACACATTCAAAATTAGATCCTCATTTTCTCATAAGCTTTGTAGAGAAACAATATTGCATGCAGGTGAAGTGCTCTGGGATTAAAGCCTGAGATGACCTCATCTTTGCCATTAGAACTATCATGCAGTGTCATGAGATTCAGTGCTGGGAAAGGGGAGCTCACATTTTGGCTAAAATAAGCAAAATATTGAGGGATTTTTATATCAGCTTAGTCTTTTCAAGTCACCAGTACTTAATTGGAATGTACTTTATTCCCAGCAATTATAAAGAGAAAGGAACTTTAAAATTGGAAAGAGTTTTGTTTGAAAAATATTGGCTTCTCCCTAACATCAGCATTAAAGCATTAGAAATCTATTACAGATGTCCTGTTTGTGTTGTGTAGGAGATCTAGACCTCTTTGCAGAGTTCTTTCATAAATAGCATGATAATATGTAATAAAGTTTGATTTTTCTTTTATAGGTGAATTTATGTAATGTGTTCTGCCCTCTCTGTCACAGACAGCTGATCAAAAATAAACCAGATTAACAGAAAATAGAAGTGATACTTTATTTTGGTTTATTTTTTGTACTACTACTAACTGGCTTTACTTCTTCCTCTGCTCTTAGGAAAATGAATTTGAAATCTTCAGGTCAGTTCCTAATTTAGGTCCTTAAATTTGAATACATTTCATAGCAGTTTTGCTGCATCTGAAACAAATGGCCAGGGGATCAGAAATATCCTCTAAAATTCTGCTGTAGGAGTGATATTTGGCAATGGGGCTTGAAAGCTGATGCTTTAGCGTAGAACTCAGAAGTAGTTCTGGACTGTGAAAGCAGTGAGGCAAGACTTTAGGTTAGGTTAAGCATTAGTTCAGATACTAAGAACAGTCTAGAGAAGTGTACAAGCAATTTTTTGAAATATGCTGCAGTTTCTTTCCAAACAGGAAATACCCAAGTTAAAATTGAGTTAATCTGAACAAATGTCTTTTTAATGAGTATCTCA